GCAGCCATTTCCTTTATTTTTCAGCTACCAGTTCTGTAGAACCAAGCAGCTACCTCAGACCTGAAAAAACACATTCCTCAGCATCACTGTTGGAATCTGAATGGAATAAATAACACGCTGATGGTCTTCAGTCAGTCCCCATAGGGAAGGAAGATACTTGAATGAGTACAAGAGGCAGAAAGTGGCCAAGATATGTAGGTGAATGACTAAGAAGGACATAGGAAGTATACTTAAACTGACTTCTTGTTGCCCTAAATCATAAAATTAGAGGCTTATCTGGCAGAAGTACAAAAAGCAGTGGCACAAGCACCTGTGCAGTGCAGTCTATGAATATAAAGAATTTCAAGGGCTTCCCTGGCATTCAAAACAGTCCTCTGGTTTGTTCGTTTCAGCTGGAAACCAGTGATAAGCCTTTTAATGGAGATGTATGTTTCTGTGCTGATATACCTGTTACTCCTGCTTGCTTTGGCTTGATTAATGTTCTGATACATGACTAGGATAGTCAAGGGAATCTATTGTGTTGTGAAGTAGTAGCCAAATGGGCAGTTTGTCCCCAGACTGCTGGATTTATGTATGGCGCAGATAACGTGCTGTGTCAGGACTCTAGTAGTCTCTATATTACAGACTTCATTATCAAGCAAAAAAGAATCACAGAAAAAGAGTAAAGCTACTATGGACTCTGTTTAGATTACTGGGAAGCTGAAAAGCAAAATCCTTTGGTGAGGTTAAAGGAGGGAGGATATGGAGGACAGTGGGGTTAGAACAGGACTCAGAAAGCTCAGTGTGTGCAAAATCCTTTATCGCTTACTCCAGATGGATTGTGCACCATTGGGTTTCAGTGCATAGTGGTATGTTTAGGTGCTCTGGACTCTAAAGATGTCTCCTAAAAGGAAGATTAAAGAAGATAGAGTGACATGCAGCTGACTGAACCCTCAAAATGGATATTCACTCCGTCTAGGGTTGCCAACTCTGACTGAAGCTATTCTGGGAGATCCCCCCCATGATTTAATATAATAGCCTATTAAAATCTCCTGGATTGCTACGATAGTCACCGGGAGATCAATACCGATTCTGGTAGACTCCCGGCCAATCCGGGAGAGTTGGCTACCCTAATTCCATCTGGGGTAGGCACGTCGACCAGTTGCCCATGTGCTTCTTGTTTCCATGGGTGCTCCAAACAGCTGTGTACTTGGGCTTGGATACAATTTGAAAGCACAGAAATTTCCTTCTTACTTGTATGCTAAAGAGTTTAGAGTGGATTAAAACCAATTAATGTAAAATAAAATTGCAAAACCAACCAAGTAACTTAGTTGCATACAATAAATTATAGATCATGGGACCCCTTAGCACTTTGTAATGCATTGTAAAAGGAACGTAATAACTACCAAAAAGTGGAATTTCTCAGCAAGTGCCTATAGGGTGGATTAGCCCAGAGCATGAAAAAGCAGGCTCTGTGCTGTACTCAATTTAGTGGGAAGAACTTAATGTTCTGTCTTGTCAGGATGTAATAAACCCAAAGTACTGTGGACCCGTGATTTATGCAACTGAAAACTCGCACCCCGTTTTGCACAGAACTGTTATCGAGAGAAAATACCAAGTTAGGCAATAAGCAAAATATCTTCCTGACTTTTTAATAGGAAGGGTCATATTTTGCCAGTAAAATCCGTTACAATCAGGTTTGTTCATTTTTCATAGTTTGATACTACAAAACGCAAT